ACAAAAATCAAAACGATTTCACTCAGACTGATCACTTCTTGTATTATTATGATGCAATTGTGGCATCAGATGCCAGCTTTATTGTAGCCCAAACCAAATAACCAGATGAAATTAGGTTTTTACATTTTATTTTCATCTGCTCTTAATTCCTCTTTACTCCAGAGGGGCACATAATTAATGTCCAGTACTTTGTTTGGGAGGCAGTCTGTTAAATGTCATTGATGTGTAATTTGCGCATTTACGCAGTCAGCAATCCTTTGCAATGTCATTTAGCATCTCTTTCAAGCCACCCTATTTGCATGTTCATTGAAACTTGTTTTTTTTCTTTGCAATTCTGTAAGATGAAGTTATGCTCCTTACAGGCCCATCTACACTCATAATTGCGATTGGTCTACTACCTTAAACAAGCCCCTTTAAACATGTGTTTTAACAGATTCAGAATCAGTAGTATTAGTACTGCTGACCCTGATTGCATTGCTGTGGATTGGTTAAACTGGATAGGGTCGGAGTAGTCCCGCTACATTGAGCTCACTTCATGGTATATATGTTGTACCTCTGCTGACATAACTTACAATTATTGCAAATTTTACAAAAAGCAAACTGAGCATTTCTTTAACATTCTTTCAATGGTGACAACAAAAAAAAACTTCTAATTTTCAAAAAAATAAATATTGTTATTCCAATCATACTTCTACTTAAATTATATGTGATTAACAGTAGAAAATAAAAACAGAAGAAAAATCTGAGAAATAGACAGATGGGGGCAAAGGTCTAGGTTTATATCAAAGAAAAGAAAAGCCATATAAATGACGGACATACCTTCCCACAACAAGAAAAGGGCTAACAACAACTCTGAACAAACACACTAATGCATTTGACAAGCCTACAACAGTGTCTGGTGGCTCTTTGCCCAAGTCTTTATGCACCGATTTGAAACAGGCTAAGAGAGGAAATTGCTGTCTCTTTTATAACAATGCTGACAATTATAAAAGAACACACTGTTGTGCCAAGACAAACCAAATGCAGCGTTTCAGGTTTTTCTCCTCCTCGGTTACACACACCTGTTGCAGACCATACAACATTCTAACAATAAAAAATAATGCCTCTAAGCAGCTGCTAAAAATATTATGTGTGTGTGTATATATATATATATATACACATACACACACACTGAAAAATACAAAGACAAGAATATGCAATAATAGACATGAATAACTGAATAATTACAGGGTAATACTGGAAAGAACACATGCACAAAAACACAAATAGTGTTTTTTGCACATAGACAGCTTCCAATGCAGGGTGCTTCCTGAGAAACCACCAATGCAGCGCAAATAAACCCAATTAATTAATAAATTACTCACTAAATATTGGATCCCACACAGAAGCGTGTGGTGCGAAGGTGTAGCTGACAGGCATGTTTCAATGCTGTAACAGAGGCCAGGTTTGTGGCTGGACATTTAGCAAACTACAGCTTGTCAATCGTTGGTTTTTAATTTTTTACTCATAGCTTTTACAATCGGCCCTGCTTATAAATAACAGGTCTGAACATGGATGACACTGAACTCAAATGACCCAACAGAAGAGAAAATGTACCCATATATATTTAAGCGTACATATATTAGTTAGAATTAACAAAGTACTAGAAATAATTCCGAGAGAAACATAGTTTTGTTGAAAACCTGTTTAGTATAAAAAAGCATTGATTAATGCTATTTAACTAATTATGACGTTTCACATGCTTTCCTTAAGGTTTTACAAAGAAGAAGGTTTTACTATTTCTTCTGAATGTCCCAAGATTTACTTCCTTAAACTTTACGCATTATATGCATGTTTTTTGTCCTCATTAAATCAATTTTAGGCTTTTGTTAAAACACATTAAAATTAAACACCAGATCAAGTACTAAGGTTTTTAAAGATCATGTCTAGTCATTTCGACAGCATTGTGGTCACTTAGGTTTTAGCCTCATTGAATCAGACTAGAAAACAAACATTGAAATTGTATATAAAATGTCCAGCTCAGAAAGCACACATGAGGTATGAATGTAGTAATATTTTATACATGCATAATGTTTATCTGTCTAACTTAACATTGCAACGCAAAGATTTTAAAAGGTAGCAAATAAAGTAAAAATAAAAGCATGCACAGGAAGCCAAATCAGGGATAAAGAACTCTCTATGAGTCAAGCCTGTTGTTTTTGAACACCACAATTCCACAGCGAACTAGAGGAACAAAAAAAAGGTTGCATTATCTCAATTAATATAGGGGGATACAGGATGAAACACTATATTTCATACTTTTAAATGGTTTTTGTCTTCATTTAGAAAAGCAAGCTTTCTGCCACAGGATGCTATCCTATTTATTTGAGAGAAGTCAATTCTCTCTTGAGATGACATCACCAGGATGAGAACATAACTGGGGCTACTCGAAAAAATAACAAATGAAAGTGATTTCCTAGCTGTCTGTAGCATTTAAAGAAAACCAAACTAGTCAGGGTATATTTTCAGACGGATGTCATTTGGTGAGGTTTTTTTCAAGTTTCACACTTTTTTTTAAAGTTACACTGTATATATATCCCTTCTGGACTTGTCCTTGAACTTGATAAAATTCTAAGAGAGTACTGGTCATTTACTATATATATATTAGGGGAGGAACAATTCACAAAATCCACGGTTCGGTTCGATTCACGGTTTCTGGTCACGGTTTTCGGTTCGATTCGATACATGTTGATTGTTACACCGAAATCCCATAAAAATTTATGAAATTAATGAAAAAATCCCCCAAAATCATTTCCGTATGTTTTGCTGCTTTGAATTTAATCATCTGGCGCATGCTCTCTAACGTCAGGTTACATGCTCTCTAACATCTCCAAGGGACTCAGAGGGGACCAGACGAAGCCACAGTGGGGACCGTAGGCTTTGCTTTGAGCAGCCGGTCTGGAGCGGGGGTTGCTGACGGAGTATGAGGGATTTCGGGGTTAGCATGACATG